GTGATAGGAGCATCTCTTGTTCTTAAAAACAAGGCCCTTTCAACCACACTTGAATTTATGCTAATGAAGTGACTCTTAGTGGCCCCTAAATAGCTTCAGGATGGGGAGTGGTGGCCAAAGGAACAGATCGGGGAATTAGAGGGTTTGAAATTTACTACTAGATAACCAAACAGTAAGTATGAGGAAATTTCTCTATAAAAGTGTATCAGCTAGTGACTGAGGAAGGAATAACAAAATTAGAATATCAGCATTTTCAGTCCCTAATGGGCTTGCACATACCATCACTTGTTTTTATCTGTGGACCTTAAGAAAATTTTATTTAATCCAAAAATGGATTCACAAGTAACTCTTTAGTTAATTACATAGGTATTTGAGTTCTGATGGAGGTTCTAGGCAGGGATTTATAATGGTTGAATTAATAATCAGGTAGTACTCCTGACTTACTCTGAGTCATTGCTGTGAAATTGTGTTCTCTAAATTACCTGTCTATAAAACAGATAATATGTACCTGCCTCTTAGAGTTTCTCAAGTTTTCTGCTTATTAAATCAAGTGCTAGATGTCTATTAAAATGGTTTGAAAACTGTAAAATGAAAACTCACAGAATGGGCTTTAGAGATGCCAAGTATTTTTTAATCAGTGTCTTGGGGAAGCATACTACTCCAAACCTCTAATTACCCTTGTTCTCGGTTTGTAATCCTTAAAGCTGTCTAAGAGAGCGGAGACACTCCTGTGGTTATTGATGCTTTTCTTTAGTGGGTGATTGGTTCACTTTATGCATTTCTGAATGCTGTAGGCTGAGAATGTGGAAGGAAAGCTGCCTTTCTTCATAGTTTCCTAACTGTTGCGGTCAGGAACCTTCCAGGGGTTTGTAGTTTGTAGTTTGAACTGCTGGGGCGTGGGGATTTTAGTTGTCATTCCTCACGTCTAGAATTTGCTTCCTCTCTGTGGTTTGTACAAACCCATCTCACCTTCCAGCTTATTCATAGGTGGGTTTGAGTCTTCATTTTATGGAAGTTTTTCCTTCATTGGTATGCTGAATTTTTTAAAGCACAGTGCTTTGGACTGATCAGAAGAAAAATACAGTAAATAAAATACTCTTTAAAAGTGGTACAGCTGTAAAAATTTCCTCTTGAGCCTACCTGGTGAATTTCTTCTTAGGTGGTAATTTGTAGAGGCCATTCAGTGGCACTGGGGGGCACGGAGGGTCGGTAGACCTCACCTACACAAAAGAAATCTTGAGTATGGGAGAGCAGATGCCCCTCGGTGTCTTAACAGAAATAAGTATGTTATCAAGGTAGGGCAGAACGCCTCATAACTAGTTATTTTTTAACACAAATCTGACTTTTCATGCCTACCTAATGACTCACAGAAGACAGTTTTATGAACCAGGTAATTGAGCTGGCCTTCAGGCAGTGCTCATCAAATTTTACAATAAATAGATAGTATATAATGATAAAAAATTATGGGTGAAAAGAGAGGAAAAGGTAATTTAACACTTTGTGGAGTTTGGAGGAGAGTATGAACTTTTAATTAACAACAATGGACTTTGGTTCAAAGGACTTAGGTTAGGCTGTTTTTAAGAATTAAAAGTTAACCTCCTTGAGGCAAAACCATGTGGTATCAAGGGAAGTGAGGGGGATTTATTCTCAGCACCCTGAATCCAGAGTCTGGCCCTGCCACTTTCCCACTCTGTGTATTTGGGCTTATCATTGTCCTCGTCTGTGATGTGAAGCTGGTCAGATTCTCTCGGAGGTGTTGTGACCATCGAATGGAGTAATACTGTATTTTGTCAGATCTCAAATATGATTGATTATGACACACCCTTATTTTTGTGCCATTAAGAAAGAAGAAATGCTGCCAGAGTAAACAGCTTTCTTTGGAGCATAAGATGCCCCTGACTTTTAGGAATGTTAAAAGTGATGTTGGACAAAACTGCATCTTAAAAATCAATAAAATATAGTGTATATGAAAGTGCTTTGCTACCTAAGCCTCAGGAGTCCTATTTAATCATTATTATATGAGTCAAGGCAGGGAAACAAGTTGTCAGAATAAATACCAGTGGGAAGCAGAGGCCCTGCAGGATGAGAGAACAGGTAGCTGTGAGGAGAAAGAGAAGTGCCTCTGTTCACAGAGAGGTGGCTCTCAGTGGCTCTCGGCTCCGCACTTGGCTTTCCATGTGCACACGGGTGTCTGCTTGGGGAGTCCTTGCTCTCAGGGACAGCTGACTTTGAGAGGAATCACCAAGTTATTTTCTCTGTTCAATGTATGGATTTTCCTCTGTTTTAGATTTTATTGGTTTAGAACTTGAAATTCTTTTTTTTTTTAAGATTTTATTTATTGTAGAGAGAGAGCGTATGTGTGCAAGTGGAGGGAGGTGCGAAGGGAGAGGGAAAGAAAAAGTCTCTAGCAGACTCCCCGCTGAGTTTGGAGCCCAATGCAGGGCTCGATCTCACGACCCTGAGATCATGACCTGAGCTGAAATCAAGAGACTCTTAACTGACTGAGCCACCCAGGCGCCCCTGAAACTTGCAGATTTTTTTAACAACCCTTGGTTAACTCTCATTTTTTTAAGTGCAGACTTGAGCAAGGCTTCAGCCAGCCTGAGCCCCACTTGCAGCAGCACGGGTTTCAGCATTGTCCTTTCCCAGAGCGACCTCTTGTTATTGGAAAGGAATTTAGTCCTGTTTGCCGTTGATTTTAGACTTCTCTGCTCTTCACTAAGGTCATTTTATATTCAAGAACGTGTTTGCAGGGCACCTGCCTGGCGCAGTTGGTTGAGCATCCGACTCTTGGTTTCAGCTCAGGTTTTGATCTCGGGGTCGTGAGATTGACCCCTGTATCAGGCTCCATGCTCAGTGTGGAGTCTGCGTGAGATTCTTTTTCTGTCTCTCAAAAAATAACTAAATCTTAAAAAAACAAAACAAAATCGAATGTGTTTTGCTCACATAGGAGTTTGGGTTAGTTCTTATTTTCTTCGGGTAGTGTAGTTTCACTTCAGGAAAATGGTGACATCGTTCTTTAACTTGTCTCCATGCTTCCCCTTGGTGCACTGGAACATTGAGCTTACAAGTATATGTCAATTACATCTCAAAAAAGCAGGCAGGGTGGGGGTAGTTTATTTCTTAGACACCACTAGGTGAGACAGAACAATTCACCCTAACGAAGAAAAGCTTCAGAATAGCCCTAGTTGAAAAAGATGTTTTCCAAATAACTCTTTGCTGAAAGTAAAGTTGCATTTTGTTCTGTTTTGAAAAACACCCCTTTAAAAATGTAAAAATCATTCTAACTAGAGTCTCCTCACTCCTATTCGAAACATAGGTGTAGAAGGCTGCTTATTATGACCGAGGCTCCTTGAGGAAGTGGCTGGTTCTAAAGCTGGAGTGGGGAAGATAGAAGAAAAGCCTGGAGCTTCTGGTAGTGCCAGAAAATGAGACAGTGTTGGAGAAAGGGAAAGATGGGGTATGTCCAAAAGACCCAGTAGTCAACTTGAAAGAGCTGCCAGGGGCCAAAGCTGGAACAATTTGACCTACAAAATAATTTTAATAATGGATTATAACCCAAAAAATATAAAATGTCTGTGAGTCCATAACTAAATAAATGACCAGATAAATAATTGAGGGAGAAGGGACAAATCTTCCTTATGGAAGAATTCCAGGTAATAAGTGTAGAAGGAATGAGGGAATAGAAGATCACCATTAGAACGTCATAGTGGCAATTACTGCAGGTAAAGCGAAAGGCAGACACAGGGTATTTGCACAGCCCCAGAGTGTCTCCCAAATATGAATTACTGTGGCAGTTTTAACATATGTCTACAAATTCTATAGTATTCCTCCTTCCAAGGAGTGCAGCTTAAATCAAGTGAATTCAATCACGCTTGATTCCTCAGCGAAAATTAAAACAGGCAAGTGGTTATTGTGGATAATGCTCTACAGCCAGGTCAGCAAACTACAGCTGGTGGGACAAATCCAAACCACCTGTTTTTGTAAATAAAAGTTTTACTGGCACACAACCAGTGTGCCTGGACTTTGTCACCCACTTTTAAGGAATACATGAAGGGGAAAAGTGGTAACTTCCCAGTGGTGACACCTGGGCCAAGAAGTGGGGGTTCACGTCCCTGGGAGTAAGTTGTGTCTCCTGACGTGATGTGACGAGAAGAGTAGTTGGCTCTGGTATTCTAGATTCTTTGCACGCATCTGTAGCCTCAGTCCAGTCATCAGGCAGAAAACATCAGGCAACCCAAACTGAGGAACATTCTACAAAATGCTGACCGGCACTCTTCAAAAGTGTCCAAGTGACAATACTCGAGGGAAGACTGAAGAAGGTCAGGGCCTGGAGGAGTCAAAGGGATGAGAGGAGTGAGTTCGGCACTGGTAGCCTGGGTTGGATCCCGGAAAAGAAAAGGGATGTGGGAAAACTGGGGGAAACCCGAGTGAAGTTGCAAGTTCAGTTAGTAGTGTTGTACTACCGTTTTGTGGTCTTTTTTTTTTTTTAAAGATTTTATTTATTTATTTGAGAGAGAGAGAATGAGAGACAGAGACCACGAGAGGGAGGAGGGTCAGAGGGAGAAGCAGACTCCCCGCCGAGCAGGGAGCCCGATGCGGGACTCCATCCCAGGACTCCAGGATCATGACCTGAGCCGAAGGCAGTGGCTTAACCAACCGAGCCACCCAGGCGCCCGTTTTGTGGTTTTAGTTTTGATCACTTAGCTGTGGGGACATAAGATTTGGAAGCCTGGTGAAGGGTGTATGGGGGTGCTCAGGGTGTCCCTGCAGCACCTCTGTAAATTGAAGATTGTTTCCGTGTTCAAAGTTTTTTTTTTTTAAAACCCTGACTTCTTATCCTGGATTGATCATCCACTTTCTCTTGAGCGTCTAGGCATTATTTTCTTAATTCTTGGGTGGGGAATCTGTTGATTTGATTTGCGTGTTAAAGTTGATTTTGGAATGTCCGTGTTGTTAATATTCTTTATATGTTAATAGTTCTTTCTCTTCCAGGGGAGGCACCTGCTGCAGAAGTCTCATCTTTTGTGATCCTGTCTGTGTGCAGTTTACTGGTATTAATAGTGTTAATTGCAAACTGTGTATCCTGCTGTAAGGACCCAGAAATAGACTTCAAGGTGAGCACAGATGGTGGGAACACTTAGAAATCATCCTCTGATACATTTATCAGTAGATGGGCTGCGTATCACAGTCCCTCGGGAGCAGGGGTGGGCAGAATTTTTCTGTAAGGGCCAGATAGTAAATATATTCTGCCATTGTGAATGGGCGATCCTGGGGGCTGGATGGTCTCTGTCATGGTCTCTGTCATGGCCACTCGGCTTCGATCTGCTGTTGTAGCGATGCCTCAACATGGGCATGAGACATGAAACCACATGGTTGTGGCTGTGTGCCTGTAAAACTTTATTTACAAAAACAGGTGGTTTGGATTTGGCCCACCAGCTGTAGTTTGCTGACCTGGCTGTAGAGCATTATTCACAATAACCACTTGCCTGTTTTAATTTTCGCTAAGTGAGGAATAAAGCGTGATTGAATTCACTTGCTCTAAGGCCTGTAAGGAAGAGCAGGCTGATTTTTTTTTTTCCCTTCAACTTTTATATGCTGGTGCATTGTGGTTGTTAAGATTATCAAGGCCAAGGGATCCCCCAGTGTGTTTTATGTATGGGAAAGAACATCTTTCATTTTACCTGAACCCTTGAGTTCTCTGATGGGGAGAAAGAATGGCACCACTTGTAAAGTCTGGTGGGGGTCAGGGGTGGCGGGGAGTACTGTAGAGGGGCTGTTTTAGCTGCAGATGGGTGGAATCTGCTGGAAACCAAGTGGGATATCCTGCTCTAGAACTTACCACATGCCTGCTCGTGTGCACTAGAGCTCAGCCAATACTTGTTAAAGAGGAATACTTGAAAAAGAAGGAATGTACGCAGATAAAATGATCCTTAATGTCCAGCCCTGCCCGTTGTCCTGGGGGCTGTCCTAAGGGCCACTGGTTCAAATTGGGGTAAAAAACTGTCTTCTAGCTACAACCCTCTTTTTAGTGGACACATGAACCTTCTTGGTAGACCTCACACCTGTTTCTGTGTTTTCTTTACCTTGAATCTGACAGCAGCTCCGAGAGATAAGGAGATGTATTGTCCTTTTGGCTTGATGGAAAGATGAGAGCAGAGGGAGGCTGGAGGAAAAGACTTACTAGCACAGGCCATATTCCTTAGAAGATTCTACTTCAAACAACTGTAGCATTTTATTCACAACTTCAGGCCCCAGGCCCTAGAATCACTACAGACACTTCTGTGACTGCATGGAGGCACAGTATCTCTGTCCCTTGACCCTCAGTCTTGCTGAGGGACTGTGTACAGACACGTTGTCTTTTGAGGAGAAAGATAAAGTGATCAGTGCTGAAACTGAAATCCAGGCTCTCCTGTGTCGTGATACTGCATTCTTGCCTTAGGTTGTTCTGACCCAACTGGGTTTCAGTATTGACGCAGGGAGTTTGTTGTGATGTAGATTCTGGGACTCAGTGTTTCTGTCGAGCTTACCAAGGTGGTTCTGGTACAGGTGGCCCTGGGACCACACTGCATAGAGGATCCTCTCCAGCTGTGTAAACCAGGACTGAAGGCGAGTGTCCATTCCTTTAGATTTAGAACTGTGTGGTGTTAGACTCTGTCCCTTGGAAGTCGTGTTACAGACCAGGAAGCTGCTGCCTGGCAGAGGGAGCAACTTGCTGGAGTGTATCTGGGCAGCCCCTGGCATAACTAGAAAAGTGACCCAGTCTTCTCTCTAGCCCCAAGTTTATTATTTTGCTGTTTTACTCCTCTGAATCTTTAGAGTCATTGGCTGCCTAATGGTATATCATGCTGCTGCCAGAGTTTTGAGTGGCATTGTTTTTAAGGTAGAAGTGATGGATAAAGTCTTTTTTTTTTTTTTTTAAGATTTATTTATTTTAGAGAGAGAGGGAGATGGAGTGAGAGAGCGGGTGGGAGGGGCAAAGGAAGAGACAGAGAGAAACCCAAGCAAACTCCATGCTCGGCATGCAGCCCAACCCAGGGCTTGATTTCACAACCCCAAGATCAGACCTGAGCCGAAACCAAGAGTCGGATGCTCCACCGACTGTGCCACCCAGACACCCCAAGTCTTCTTTAAGGAGAGTAGCTTTACGAATGTCCAAAGGGGAATTGAGTAAAGCTCTTCCATTCAGAGGTGCTTCATGGGCTGAAGTTATGGTACCTTGTTTGTCCTACCCCCTCCCGTTACAAATAGCAGTAAATGTCCTAATGCGTCTGACAACACAGGTGACATGAGGGTAGTGTTCTCCCACATGCATGTGAGGACTTACATATTATATCAGAGAAATCTACCCTTACAACTCCTGGTTTTTCCCTCATAGGGGTTGGGGGTGCAGGCAGGGGATGAGGTAGAAAAGGAAATGAAAAGAAGGATACCCCGTAGAGGAATGGCAAGCAGTCTTGTTCACTGGTCTGTTCTCGGTTTCTGTTATGGTGCCTGGTGGGGATACTCATTAGTTATCCGAGCGAACGAATGACCTTGATCATCGTCTGTGTGAATGTTAAAGTAACACGGACACCAAGGAAGACGCGGCTCACTGGAATGATGACAGCAGGAGTCGGGCTAGCTTTCTGCTGCAGAGTCACTGAAAAGACTCCCACAGCTTTACGGGCACAGCCTCAGTTCTAAAGTCGCCATCTTCAGAAAACCAGACGTTCTTTGTGTGTTAACAGTACTTATGTGTGGGGCGCCTGGGTGGCGCAGTCGGTTAGGCGTCTGCCTTCGGCTCAGGTCATGATCCCGGGGTCCTGGGATCAAGCGCCGCATCGGGCTCCCTGCTTGGCAGGAGCTTTGCTTCTGCCTCTGCTGCTCCCCCTGCTTGTGGTTTCACAGTCTCCCGCGCTTTCTCTCTCTCTGGCAAATAAATGGATAAAATCTTAAAAAAAAAAAAAAAAAAGTACATACGTACTACACAGCTTTAGACTGACCTTCATTTAGACACCAATGATTTTTCTACCCAGTTCAGTAATTTTTCCATTGTTACTCTTCCCAGAGAAACAGGACTTCCTTGAAAATATCTTTTCCCAGTTTTTTAACTGTCCTTATCTTGATTGAAATCCTATTTCAATTAGAAATGAGTATATGGTTTTAAAATAAAATGGATCTGTTTGGATTCAATATGCAAAGAGATTTGTGAGATTGAATAATAAAGAAAAAAAGAATAGCTGAAGCTGCGGTAACTTAAAATTTCCAACCTGGAAGCGTATTTCCATGTGAAGTTCCATGGTCATTTTAGAAAATTTTGCATTTAACTTCAAGCCATTGGTTGAAAAAAAAAGTTGCATAAAGTATGTATAATTTATTTTAAACCTTAATGATTCTGCTATTTGGCATTGGAGAACACAATTATATATGCTTTTTACTTAAGTAGGTACAAATTGGGGGAAAACTTGAAGGCCGTGTGTTTCAGATGAGTGAGTAAATGCTCATGTCTCAGATGTTAGCATATGTTTTTAATATTTGCTCTCAGACTGGTTTATATCCGATATAACATTGCTCCTCTTTTATTTTAGGAATTTGAAGATAATTTTGACGATGAGATAGATTTCACACCACCAGCAGAAGATACCCCCTCTGTTCAGTCCCCGGCAGAAGTTTTCACACTTTCAGTACCAAATATCTCACTACCAGCTCCATCCCAGCTCCAGCCTTCTGTAGGTAAGGCCTTACGTCCCAGCGTCATGTTTTTGTGAATCATCTCTCAGGGGTGAGAGTGGGAACCTTGATGCTAATCATAAAATGCTTGGATTACCTGTCTTGTCTGCTTGCTTATTTGTCTTCTTCCTGCTCCCTGCGGAAGCTGAATTGTAGTCTCGTCCAGTGCATGCCTGCAAAAGCTGAGTCCTTTGCTTTTGGACCCTGAGTCTGGTATCAGATTAAACTGGTCTCCTCTGTTCACTGAAGTGGAATCTCACACAGAGCTCTTGGCCTTTACTTGGGTAGTTCTCGACACTGCTCGTCTTGCTGAGTAGGATGCTGCTGTCTTTCCCCGGGATGTCCTGTGTTTGGGGAGGGCTGTATATTTGGATATGTTAGTTGGATTGACTTTCATGCTGAGATAGAGGTTTGATTAGATGTTGATCGATTTATTGTTATAAAATAGAATATGACTAGTAGTTGGAGAATCAGGGATTGCTGAGACTACTAAGAGAAGGCTGTTCTGTCTGCGTGCCATCCCTCCCTCTCGTGATTCTGCACACAGTAGTGTAGGTTTAGGGCAGCATAAACCCAGCAGTTGATTGCACTGCTGTAGGCATGCATGACCGAGAGAAAACATAAGATAAAATGTGACACAGCTGGTATATTTCCTATAAAATATCTGTACAGTTAGGTATATTTAATATGTGTAGGTTTTGCAGCATTAAAATACTAACACGTAGTATTTACCTTTAATTTTAGTAAATAACAATACCCTTCCTTCAACCAAAATAGTGAAATTTAACGGGAATCTAATATACCCTCCCTTGGGATCACTTAAGTAACCTAGGTATACTTCTCTCTAAATGGAAATATTTTCTCTTCTCTTCGCTTTCTTTCTTTCTTCCTTTCTTTTTATTATTTCTCAGAGAGAAACAGAGACAGCACAAGCAGGGAGAGAGGGAGGCAGAGGGAGAAGCAGGCTCCCCGCTGAGCAAGGAGCCCGATGCGGGACTTGATCCCAGGATCCTGGGATCATGACCCGAGCCGAAGGCAGCTGCTTGACCGACTGAGCCACCCAGGTGTCCCTTCTCTTTGCTTTCTTGATCATAGACTTTCCTTTATACTTAAGGGAGGCCCTGAGAGACTTTCTAGGGCTTTTACCATCTTGGAGTCTTAGCACTCATGAATTCATTTCAAGGAATAGAATCCTAACTCAGATCAGCATGTACAGAAGGGGGACTTTTTTTGACGCTGGAACCAGGCGATGGGAAGAGTAGGGGTTAGGCAGACCTTAGAGGCAACTGGAGCTGGGAACTTGGACACCATCGTGCTTTTCGTTCACTCCTTGTTTCTCTCCTCTTTGCGTGTTGGCTGAATTCCCGCACACCAGCTTCTTTCCTCAGCTTGGAGCATAGCTGCTGCCAACGCCAGGTTCAGATCCTTGTAGCTTTACTACCAGAGGAAAGGAGCTTCTCTTTCCTCAGACCAGAAAGAAAACCCTTGGCGAGCTGTTCTGGTTGGCTTCCCCCGAGTCTGACAGTGTTGACCCCTCCCTGTGGGCAGGAAGGCACGACAGAGAAGAGCCTGATGACTTCTGTCCAAGACATAGTGGGGATGGACCAGGGCACAGTCATGGGCACAGCCAAAATGGTAGCGACCTGGACAGCCATCCTCATTACATTCATACACCTTTCTGTGTTTCTCGAGCCGTCTATTCTAAATTCCTTCTTAATAGGAAGAAATTCTTTCCAATTTCTCCGCATAGAATAGTCACAGAATATTTTTATGATCTTGGGATGGAAGAGGGCTTTCCAAGCTTGACACCAAATGCGGAAACATAAAGGAAAATATTGGCAAATAGGTTTCAAAAAATTAAATATTCTTTATGGAAAAAGACACCATAAACAAATTTGACCAAGGGCGCCTGGGTGGCTCAGTTGGTTAAGCGACTGCCTTCGGCTCAGGTCATGATCCTGGAGTCCCAGGATCGACTCCCGCATCAGGCTCCCTGCTCAGCAGGGAGTCTGCTTCTCCCTCTGACCCTCTTCCCTCTCGTGCTCTCTGTCTCTCATTCTCTCTCTCTCAAATAAATAAATAAAATCTTTAAAAAAAAAAAAAATTTGACCAAGTAGCAAAAATATTTGTAAACTACAAAGAATGTCTAAGAAAAAAAAACAAAAACAACCCTGTTATATATTAATATATACTAAGGTTACAAACAAACGTTTAAGAAGAAGAGTGCTTTAATTTAGTTAAAACTAAACCATACAAGTCCATTCAAATATGTGAGGTCTTGTTTTCGTCTTAAATACAATTCTTTTATTAGAAGGGATGATACTTTTTGGGGAGCCATTTATTTCATTTGGGGGGCTGCGTGTGTATATGTATGTTTTAATAACATTCACTTGGAATCAGCTAAAAGCTGTAATATGTCTTTGAAATGAGCCATGATAAATACAAATGAGAGAAACAAGAACTTAGAGGATTGTTTTAAAGCATTGTAGGTATTAACGTGTTTATCAGAGATAGTAAATATTATAGTTTCAATTATGCATCTCTTTGAACATCATAAACACACCTTGGTGTTGGTAAGTGTTTTAAGCATTTGTGTTAACTTTTAGGGACTATTTGTTCACTTAGTGCATCTTACGAACTACAAATCTTAATTGGTATATTTTGAAATGGTCATGTAAATTTTTGGCTTATATATCATGAAAATAATCATAACTTAATTTTTTTTCCCTGATATTCACTGTAAAACATTCAGGGGTCCTACCATTTCTGTTCAGGAAATCTTGTAGTTTATTGTTATTTAACAATATTAAGTGAATTTTTGTATATTTCATTTTAACTTTATTTGTGAATAGTGATTGTGGCATGTTTGGATGTTATTTTAATATTTCATGATACAGAAATTTTAATTTTTAAAAAAAATTTTCTGGAAGAAACAGATTCATGTGTAATGGTGAATATTGGACCACTACTGCTTTTCACATTTGTAAATTGGTTTTATGTTAAATCCTGTAGCCTAACAAACTGCTGTTATTTCTAACTGACAGACCTGTATTAATATTGTACTTTGAAGGTTATAAATATTATGTGGAAATTCCTCCATTTTGTTTTGAAATTTATAATAAGATCTTCATGTTGTTAAAAAAAAAAAAGAAGAACACTTCAATAGGAAAGAATAAGTTAAGGATGTGAAAGGAGAAATTCATGAAAAGAAATTCAAATGGCCAATAAAAAATAGGAATTCCGTTATTAATTAAAGACATACAGGGGTGCCTGGGTAGCTCAGTTGTTAAGCGTCTGCCTTTGGCTCAGGTCATGATCTTGGTCCTGGGATCGAGCCCCACATCGGGCTCCCTGCTCCGTGGGAAGCCTGCTTCTCCTTCTCCCACTCCCCCTGCTTGTGTTCCCTCTCTCGCTGTGTCTCTCTCTGTCAAATAAAAAAAAAATACAAACATAAGATGATAACAGCTAAACAAAGATGAGAAGAAAGGATGCTAGGTGGTGATGGGTTGAGGGGAGTGTGTGGGAAACAGGCCCTTGGACACTCCCTGCTAGCGGGACTGTAAATTGATAGAGACATTCTTCCCTGAGGGTAGTCTGACAGTATGTATCCAAATGTAAGATGTATTTACCCTTGATCCTGCAGTTCCACTCTCAGTAGTTTATTTAGATCAGTATGCAAATAAATATCTACAAAGGAATTTATTGCAGCATCAGATTAAATGTCTGTCAGTATGTAACTTGTTAAAATATGGTAAGTCCATACAATGGAGTATTATGTAGTCCTGTGAAAGGAGGAAAGGTATTTGTGATATATTAAGTGAAAAAGTATACCATATATTCAAGAGCAAATCTAGAAGAAACTCTACATGTTTTTTCCTTTTTAAAATGCATTTTATTTTACGAATAGATAAGTCATACAGTTGAAAAACCAAAACATACAAATGTATATAGAGTGAAAAGCCTCTAATCTTTGAATCTGACCTCAGCTCCTACCCCCACTGTCTGTACGTGGGGGTCTGTCTGTACGTAACCACTCTTCTTGGTTTCTTATACATCTTTCTGGACTTTATTGATGTAAATATTCCCATTTACGTGCCCCCACACACACCCCCTACCCCCCCCCCGCCATCACCAAAACACACTTTTTTTACTCATAGGGGCATGGTAAATACATTATTCCGCATCTTGCTTTCACTTACAGATGTACCTTAGAGATCTTTCCGTATGCATAAAGAGAGCTTGTTTATTCCTGCTTACAAGTTTCTATTTAAATTGTATGGACTTAGCACAATTTATTTAACCTATTGATGGATATTTGGGTTGTTTCTAATCTTATGCTATTTCTGATCTTATGCTATTAAAAATAAAGCTTGTATGTATGTTGGTTTGCACATTGATGTTGGGCTGCTATATTTGTAGAATAAATTTTCAGAAGCAGTCAAAGAGTACATAATTTTGGGAGATATTGCCAGCTTACCCACCACAAGGAGTTGTGTTAATTTATGTTCCTGCTATTTGTGTGTCAAATGGTATATGTTATTACTATTGAAGCTAAGTTGGTATCAGTTCAAATTAGATTATTATAAATTTAGGGTGATAACTGTAATCTCCATGGTAACCACTAAGAACATAACTAGTAAATATGGAAACAGAAATGAAGAAATCAAAATGTACACTAAAATAATTAGTCAAATATACACGAAAAAAGAATTTTTTGATGTTTCCTGATTTTAATATAGCCAAATTTAACAGCCCCTTAAGCTAGAAATGTAATCTCTTTTTTTTAATTTTTACAATTTTTTTAAATTTTTAATTTTTTTAAAGATTTTATTTATTTATTTGTCAGAGGAGAGAGAGCGCACAAGCAGGGGGAGTGGCAGGCAGAGGGAGAGGGAGAAGCAGGCTCTCCGGGTCTCGATCCCAGGACACTGAGATCATGACCTGAACCGAAGGCAGACGTTTAACCATCTGAGCCACCACCCAGGTGTCCCTTTTTTTTTAAT